CAACCAAACCTATTTTATTTTTTGTTGTTGTTGCCCGTGAACATTGAGCTTGAGGATTGGTGGTATGCTTTATAATATAAAGCGGGAGAAAACCCTATTACGTGATGAAGTAGGATTCCTCCAACTTGGGGTGCCCCAAGACTGTTCCCCTCCCCTCCCACCTATATATACGTGGGGAGGGGGAGCCTAGAATACACATCAACTATTATTAGCCGTGTGCGGCCCCCCATCCACAGTTTACGCCTTCGGTCATATTCTCGTAGTGCTTAGGCGAAGTCCTGTGCGGATCACTTCATCATCACCATCGCCACGCCGTCATGCTGACGGAACTCATCTACTTCCTCGACGCTCTGCTGGATCAAGAGTTTGAGGGACGTCATCGAGTTGAACGTGTGCAGAACTCGGAGGTGTCGTACGTTCGGTGCTTGATCGATCGGAACGAGAAGAAGTTTGACTATATCAACCGTGTTGTCAAACGCTTCCGCTTTCGGTCCATGAGGGTACGTAGACACACTCTCCCCCTCTCGTTGCTATGCATCTCCTAGATAGATGTTGCGTGCGCGCATGAATTTTTTTAAATTGCATGCTACGTACGCCAACACTAGTCTGTTACTAGTGGAAAAATGTAAGATTTTATTTTCAAAATTTACCGGACTATTATCTCTAAGCATAGAGTTGTGTGAAAATGTTCACTTTTTGTGCGCAATCTTTTTTTTTTTGAGTAACTTTTGTGTGCAAATGTAGCAGTGCTTTCAATGGTCGAAATGCTTGAAGAAAAAAGACGGCCCAATAGAGCGATGGTGCGCAGTGAGTGGGCTACCAGCAAAAGAAGAATTGCATTCATAAAAAAACAGAAGAATTACAGTTTCTCAAAAAAAAAAAACAGAAGAATTTTACAAATCGAACCGTGGAGGCCTTCCGTTCGCCCGTCTTCTTCCCCTCTGATTTCGCCATGGACAGCACCGCCCCGAACTCTTCCTCCTCCGCCGCCGCAACCGCCGCCGCCGTAGCGGCTGCGGCCGCTTCCGGTAACGGCCTACAAGGGGGCGACCGTCCCGAGGACCCGTCGAAGCAGAACCTGGCGCAGGTCACGGCATCGATCCAGAGGACCCTGGGCCTGCTCCACCAGCTCAACCTCAACGTCTCCTCCTTCAGCTCCGCGTCCCAGCTCCCCCTCCTCCAGCGCCTGTGAGCTCCCTCGCCTCCCCGTACCCCCGCATCACACCTCCCCCGCGACCACGTTTTCCTCCCGCGGCTTTTCCGCGTGCGCGGATCCCTTAGGGTTTGGTCTTGTCTGGCGATGCAGGAACGCGCTGGTGGCGGAGCTCGACACGATGCAGAAGCTCGCCGAGGAGTGCAACATCCAGGTGCCCATGGAGGTCGTCAAGTGAGATCGATTAGTCTCGCCTCTTGCCCCGTTGCCCCTTTGCCGTTGTTGACCCTCTCGCCTGAACTGTGTCTTTCCGATTGGTGCTTGTGCTGTTAGTTTGATCGATGACGGGAAGAACCCCGATGAGTTCACAAGGGACGTGCTCAACAGCTGCATCGCCAAGAACCAGATCACCAAGGGCAAGACCGATGCTTTCAAGGTATGGATGGCTTAAACTGTTGTTCAAAATATGCCAAAATTTCGCTATTAATCAAACATGCCCATAGATATATGCTCGATACAGTTTGTAGCATGGTACAGTACAATGGATCAAAACCAGTGATAAAGTTTGCCGGTCTATTTTTAGGGGAACTTTTGATGAAATCTTCAATTGGTACTGCTGTTCGTGTAGAAAAGAATGCTGAGCTTTTTATCACATTTCATATCTTTCCATATAGTGGCATCCTAACCCCAAATCAAGCAAATACATGTTGTCCTTCATTAATTTGGCCTTCATTTATGTGATTTAGTTACACCGCAGGAACTTTCAAGAAAAATGAAATCACTCCCTCTCCATCCACTTAAATTGGTTATGGTATACAGACTAGCCCATCAGTTGGTAACGATACTTTTCATTATCAAAGTTTTCCCTGTTGTTACTCCCTTTGACTGTAATCCCTAATTAAATTTAGGTGAAATGTGGTGCCAGTGTTTGTTGTACTGCTCATGTAGATTCCTGTCTCTGTATTATTTAGCTGGATAAGAATGGATAGATGGCAATTTTGTATCCAGTATCTCTGTATCTGTATAGCATTTATTGAAGCGATGGCCGTAAGGCCCACCTTTTTGTTTAGGGCTCGTTATGATCAATCAGTGTCCCAAATAGATGGGAATTCATTTTCGAAGCTTTTCCTGGTGTTACTCCCAATTGACTGTCGGGCCTAATTAAATTTAGGTGAAATGTGGGGCCTGTGTTTGTAGGTACTGCCCATGCAGATTCCTGTCTCTGTATTATCTAGCTGTATAAGAATGGATAGATGCGTTTTTGTATCCATTTTTGAATGGACATATAGCTGCCGGCCCTAATCTAATTGATTGGAATGACATAATAATATCATGAATCTGTTTGTTTCAGAGTCTGAGGAAGCATCTTCTAGAGGAGCTTGAAGAAGCTTTTCCTGAAGACATCGAAGCATACAGGCAGATACGTGCTACTTCTGCCGCTGTAAGTATAAATATGCCTGCGTTTGTAAGATAGCCATGTCTTTATTAAAAATGTTGTTGAACACAAATCTGCCAACGGGACAGGAACAATGTGAATCATAGTTGACTACATTAGTAAGGAGATTGAACAATGTGGTTTCATGTTTCTGTTGTCACAATGCTCAGTTCATCGTCTTTCAGCCTTCTGGAAGTGTTAGCTTAAGTTGGTGAGACTAAAACCATGATATATATGTGTTTGGTAACTTGGTTAGAATCTTCCACTTAAACACCGATCTTGGTTTTAAGAATTAATTTATCTGAGGACATCATTTGTTTTGTGTTAGTAATGCATTGTTTGTAAATCTTGACTAGCTATGGCTCTGTGCCACTATTTTTGACTTCAAGACTGGGCTGTCCATTGGACCTAAATGTTTATTTATTCTCTATCTGTATTTTACTGCATTAGTTTCTTAATAACTCACTTTTTGTCCAGGAATCAAAGCGGTTGGCTCAGTCGCAAAATGTTTTGCCTAATGGAGATTCCAGTGTGAAAGCTGAGCACTGACATAAGGACCCAAGACGCGAAGAGCAAGAAGCTCTCTAGCTCTCCTATGCTTACAGTGTGAGGAAGGCCCTGGGAACAAACAACTGATACTATATCCCCTTGTACGCACTGGCCTTTTATAGGAGGGATCAATAGTACATCTGTATATTATTGTCGCAATAATATATTCAACTTCCCATTTGTTGTAGTCAATGCTACTCAGCTAGATTTGCCGTGTTTTTGTCTATCTATGTAGCCATCATCAGCCAGAATTGGTAATTAGGGTACCTCTTTATAAATGGGTTATGGTGCTACTTGCAGTCGAGTAGTAAGTTAATCTGCTGATGAGCTCATCATCGTGTATTGGTTTCATAATAATCATTCCTCATCATGGGCCTACTGGCAAGTGCTGTGTAGTCTATTCAAATACTAATCCTGTGGGCTGTTGCCCCTAGAGTGACTCGAGAAGATTGGATAGGTTGCCTCTTGGAGATAGTTGGCTTTGTTTCGAATAGTTTAACTGAAAATGGCCGTCACTATGATAAGTTGTGTGGTGGTTGATTTCCTTTTGGAGGTCATCTAGGTGAAGTGATTAGAGAGGGAACTTCCATGTGTGCATGCCGGTTGCCAGTACTAAGAACAGAGAGCACATTTGTTAACGACAATCTTTGATGAGCCCTTGAGATGTGTACTTCACAGTGACAACCATGAAACGGGCAATTTGAGCAAAATTTCTGGACATCATATACCCCATTTCTTTTAACGGGGAAAGGCGCCCAAGGCGCAAAATTCATTCAACTCATAGATAGAAAGAAGAGGGATTACGGGGGAAGGCATGTTCCTGTGAGCTGAACCGAAACAGCTAAAGACAGGTTCTAAAGATCTAATTACAACCTCATGAGCTACACTGTAAGCAGATATGAAACATCTACGACTGAAGATTGTCGGTGGACCTGTAGTAATCCGCAAGAGTTGTTCGGATCGTCCAAGGAGTGGTATCGGCCACAACATTTCTAGCAGCCGCTGCCTTAGCAAAGAGAAAGGATGCCCGTAAGAAACGTTGGCTGGACGACCTGCAAGAGTTGTGCCACTTTGGCTGCAAGGAGAGAAGGGCTTGTGCTTCTGCCTTGAGAGGTGGTCGGAGCAGAGGCTTGAATCTATTTGAAACTTTGAATGCTCCTTTGATTCTGCATAAAATTGAGGTAAACTCCAATGCCCGTGGCTGTGCTTCCATTCGACAAGCTTGGTTTCTTTTTTTGAACATTTGAAAGAGGCGTGAGAGTAAATTTTAGCTCCTGCAATGAGGCATCACATTGTTGTTCCCTGCATTGTGAGATTGATTGTTTTTTTTTTGCGGGTGTGAGATTGATTGTTATCATTACAATCATCGAGAGAGATTTGCTGAGTGATGTTGAAGTCTGCCATGGCAGCGTGCCCGATTCGGAAAAAATTAGCAGCGTGCCCACAGTAGTGTTATGGTATGGCGCTGACTCATACTAGACAGTGCATGTGTATCGAGCCATGGAATAAATATCACCGCGTGTCGCGGGTGCCTCAAACCAGTCTCAAGCACCCGAGCGGGCGGACCGGTTACTGGCCAGTCATAAAAAACCAACCCATCTGGATGCCTCAAATCGGTCTCAAACGCTCGGGTTGTTCGGTGCTCCTCATATCGAGCTCAAATATAAGGCGGATATGGTGCGACCCAGGCAGCCTAGGTGCGTCCACCAGGTCGGCGCTGGCAGGCCTGGCCCACCAACGACCGCATCACTGTCCCACAAAAAACCCCAATTTGGCTCCTCGCTCGGAACCCTAACTCATTCACTCTCCGCTCCGTCCTCTCCTCTCCCCTCTATGATTCTAATCCAATCCGACGCAATGTCGTGCTCCGGCAGCCACTCCGACTCCGACCTCGACGTCGACGAGGAGCTGGCCCTCTGCATTGCCTTGGAGCGGGCCAAGGTGGACACCGGGTGCAGCTCCAGATCTGCAGCGTTGCCGCAGCTCCCGAGTCAGCGCAGCGCGGTAGCAGGAGCTGGCCCCTCCCGGCCCGCGCACAGCTTCGTCAGGGCAGCGCAGTCCACTCCGCCCCCGCGCCGTCCCCTTCCCCCGTCGATCGCTGCTCTGTGCGGGTAGCGGTGGGTGCTAGTGCCCACGTTGCCGGCCTACACACGCACTTCGGAATCGAGGCGCGCGCCGTCCGCCGTGAGAGGCGGCGGGCAAGGGGTCTGGACGCCGCTGCCGCGGTATGCCGACGGAGCCTGACGAGGACGAGAACTCCTCGCTTGGGTCTACCGCCGATCGTTCACGGCGGCGGAGACGGATGCTCGCCGCCTACGGTGGAAGAACGCAAAGGCGCTCCAACTTACCATAGAGCTGTCAGAGCGCGAGAGGAAGGAGGTAGCGGCCGAGGCGGCTCGGCTCGCCAAGTTGAAGCGACAGCAGGATAGGGCCGTCCGTCGGATGAAGGGGCTGATCGTCCTCTCCGACTTCGACTTCGACGATGGAGACGACCACAGCGCCACCTCTGACGATGACGACCAAGATCCTCCACCAGCCACGGACGCCTACAGCTGCGCTGGTGACCGGTGGGGAAAAGCTCGGCGAGGAAGTGGTGAAGACGCTCCTCCGTCTATGTTTATTAGCGTTTTTTAGTTGTTGAACTTAAGAAGTTGTCTGACGATGAACTCCGATAATCTTTTGGATGATGTATAGTTCGTTTATGAGCATTTGGTTGTCCGTTTGATGCAGATTTCGTTTTGTGTTGTCTGATCATGTAGGGCGTGTTTGGTTGCCCGCATGCAGCCCAACCAGGCCCGCGCGGGATGTGCGCGGCCTGTTTGGTTGCCTGGGCTGCATGCGGTTTGTGGCCCGCACAGACCTTAAAGCAGTCGCAGCCTGGCCCGACGAAAACTGTCGAATCGGCAGTTTCTCGCGAGCCTAGCTCGGCGCGGCCACACGTGCGAGGGGACGTCTCATAACTCGCCCCCACTCTCCTGTCACCGCCCAGTCGCACTGTTCCCACCCCTCCCTCTCTCCCTCACCGCCCCTCCCTCTCTCCCTCACCGCCCCTCCCTCTTCTCTCTTCCGATGGCTCCGCCTCGCCCACCACCGCGCCGCCCTTTGACCCCCGTTGACCAGCGCATCGCCAGCATCCAGGAGCGCTGGCTGGCCGGGCTCCAGAACTCGGGTCGGGACCTGGTGAGGGAGTCGTGGATTAGGGGGTGTCCGGATGGCCGGACTATGACCTTTGGCCGGACTACCGGACTATGAAGATACAAGATTGAAGACTTCGTCCCGTGTCCGGATAGGACTTTCCTTGGCTTGGAAGGCAAGCTTGGCAATATGATATGTAGATCTCCTCCCATTGTAACCGACTCTGTGTAACCCTAGCCCTCTCCGGTGTCTATATAAACCGGAGAGTTTTAGTCCATAGGACGAACAACAATCATACCATAGGCTAGCTTCTAGGGTTTAGCGTCTCTGATCTCGTGGTAGATCAACTCTTGTACTACCCATATCATCAATATTAATCAAGCAGGAGTAGGGTTTTACCTCCATCGAGAGGGCCCGAACCTGGGTAAAAACATCGTGTCCCTTGTCTCCTATTACCATCCGCCTAGACGCACAGTTCGGGACCCCCTACCCGAGATCCGTCGGTTTTGACACCGACATTGGTGCTTTCATTGAGAATTCGTCTGTGTCGTCACCTTTAGGCCCGATGGCTTCTTCGATCATCAACCACGACGCGGTCCAGGGTGAGACTTTTCTCCCCGGACAGATCTTCGTGTTCGTCGGCTTCGCACTGCGGGCCAATTCGCTTGGCCATCTGGAGCAGATTGAGAGCTACGCTCCTGGCCATCAGGTCAGATTTGGAAGTTTGAACTACATGGCCGACATCCGTGGGGACTTAATCTTCGATGGATTCGAGCCACGACCGAGCGCGCCGCACTGTCACGATGGGCATGATCTAGCTCTGCCGCCGGACAGCGCCCAGAGCGACGCTCAGGTGCCTGCTCCGACCCTTAGCTCGGAGCCGACCGCGCCAGTCGGGGACGGACGGTTGGATGCCGCCCCGGGAGCTGCAATTTCTACGGCGATCGAGCCGAACACCAGCTTAGTCCTTTGTGAGGCCTGTGACTCCAAGGTGCCGGACTCCTTTCCGGACTCCGAATCTTCCGCACCCCTTCCGATCGAACCCAATTGGTCTCCGATCATGGAGTTCACCGCCGCGGACGTCTTTCAGCACCCGCCCTTTGGCGACATCCTGAATTCACTAAAGTCCCTCTCTTTGTCAGGAGAGCCCTGGTCGGACTATGGTCAGCAAGGTTGGGATGCGGACGACGAAGAAATTCGAAACCCACCCACCACCCACTTTGTAGCCACTGTCGACGTTTTAACCGACATGCTCGACTTCGACTCCGAAGACATCGACGGTATGGACGCCGATGAAGGAGACGACCAAGAACCAACACCTATAGGGCACTGGAAAGCCACCTCGTCATATGACATATACATGGTGGACACCCCAAAAGCAGAGAATGGCGATGAAAAAATGGAGGATGACCCCTCCAAGAAACAACCTAAGCGCCAGCGTCAGCGGCGCCGCTCTAAATCCCGCCAAAGCAAAAACGGCGAGTCCGGCACTGGAGATAACAACACCCCGAACAGTCCCCTCCAGTAGGATTCAACGCAGGAGGACGGAGAAGCCAGCCCTCATGAGAGAGCGGCATACAGGAAGGTCGACGACGATTATATGCCTCCCTCCGAAGACGAGGCAAGCCTCGACAACGACGAATTTGTCATGCCAGAGGATCCCATCGAACAAGAGCATTTCAAACGTAGGCTTATGGCCACGGCAAGCAACCTCAAGAAAAAACAGCAGCAGCTTAGAGCTGACCAAGATTTGCTGGCCGACAGATGGACTGAAGTCCTGGCGGCCGAAGAGTACAAACTCGAACGCCCCTCCAAGAGCTACCCAAAGCGCATGCTGCTACCCCAACTAGAGGAGGAAGCAACTA